AATGTACAGTGGAGAAAGGACAGCCTCTTCAATAAGTGGTGCTGGGAAAACTGGACAGGTACATGTAAAAGTATGAGATTAGATCACTCCCTAACACCATACACAAAAATAAGCTCAAAATGGATTAAAGACCTAAATGTAAGGCCAGAAACTATCAAACTCTTAGAGGAAAACATAGGCAGAACACTCTATGACATAAATCACAGCAAGATCCTTCTTGACCCATCTCCTAGAGTAATGGAGATAAAAACAAAAATAAACAAATGGGACCTAATGAAACTTCAAAGCTTTTGCACAGCAAAGGAAACCATAAACAAGACCAAAAGACAGCCCTCAGAATGGGAGAAAATATTTGCAAATGAATCAACTGACAAAGGATTAATCTCTAAAATTTACAGGCAGCTCATGCAGCTCAATAACAAAAAAATAAACAACCCAATCCAAAAATGGGCAGAAGACCTAAATAGACATTTCTCCAAAGAAGATATACAGACTGCCAACAAACACATGAAAGAATGCTCAACATCATTAATCATTAGAGAAATGCAAATCAAAACTACAATGAGATATCATCTCACACCAGTCAGAATGGCCATCATCAAAAAATCTAGAAACAATAAATGCTGGAGAGGGTGTGGAGAAAAGGGAACACTCTTGCACTGCTGGTGGGAATGTGAATTGGTACAGCCACTATGGAGAACAGTATGGAGGTTCCTTAAAAAACTACAAATAGAACTACCATATGACCCAGCAATCCCACTACTGGGCATATACCCTGAGAAAACCATAATTCAAAAAGAGTCATGTACCAAAATGTTCATTGCAGCTCTATTTACAATAGCCCGGAGATGGAAACAACCTAAGTGCCCATCGTCGGATGAATGGATAAAGAAGATGTGGCACATATATACAATGGAATATTACTCAGCCATAAAAAGAAACGAAATTGAGCTATTTGTAATGAGGTGGATGGACCTAGAGTCTGTCATTCAGAGTGAAGTAAGTCAGAAAGAGAAAGACAAATACGGTATGCTAACACATATATATGGAATCTAAGAAAAAAAAATGTCATGAAGAACCTAGGGGTAAGACGAGAATAAAGACACAGACCTACTAGAGAATGGACTTGAGGATATGGGGAGGGGGAAAGGTAAACTGTGACAAAGTGAGAGAGTGGCATGGACATATATACACTACCAAACGTAAAATAGATAGCTAGTGGGAAGCAGCCGCATAACACAGGGAGATCAGCTCGGTGCTTTGTGACCACCTAGAGGGGTGGGATAGGGAGAGTGGGAGGGAGGGAGACGCGAGAGGGAAGAGATATGGGAACATATGTATATGTATAACTGATTCACTTTGTTATAAAGCAGAAACTAACACACCATTGTAAAGCAATTATACTCCAATAAAGATGAAAAAAAAAAGATAGGTGGTGTAAATCCCAGCTTCTGGGACTTAAGATGTGGCCTTGAGCAAGCCACCTCATCTCTCTGTGTCTCGGTGTCCATCTGTAAAATGGGAATAATAATAGTACTGAGCGGGGCTTCCCTGGTGGCGCAGCGGTTAAGAATCTGCCTGCTAATGCAGGGGACACGGGTTCGAGCCCTGGTCTGGGAGGATCCCACATGCCACGGAGCAACTAGGCCCGTGAGCCACAACTACTGAGCCTGCGCATCTGGAGCCTGTGCTCCACAACAAGAGAGGCCGCGATAGTGAGAGGCCCGCGCACTGCGATGAAGAGTGGCCCCCGCTTGCCACAGCTAGAGGAAGCCCTCGCACAGAAACGAAGACCCAACACAGCAAAAATAAATAAAATTAATTAATATATATTTAAAAAAAAATAAATAATAGTACTGAGCTTGTGAGTTATTATGAGGAATCAGTGGCACAGGGGTTCGTGGTGGTAAGTGGCAGCCCTCTTGTGATGGCGTTGATGTGTGTGTGCATGTCTGTGCCCACGTCTGTGTTGATGGAGTCGAGAGGTATTTCCTGACCGTTCTTGCTCTCAATACAAAGTCTCGTCTATTTTTTTTTCCCCTGGGCTGGCGGCCCCTAGCAGGAGTTGAGTGTCTAGTAGAAGTGGGGACTTGGCGTTGGGACTTCTAGCTCCTGAGCCATCCAGACTGGAGGTGATGGGGCTTTTCCCAGGATCCAGGAGGGCTGATTGTTCCCATCCCAGGGTGAGCTGGGGAGCAGGTGGGGGTGGGGCTCACCTTGGAGAGCCTGGCCCCAGAGATGTTACCCCCTGAGGGCTGTGGCTGGAATGGGCCTGGCCCAGAAACACAGGGCTGGGGATAGGCATGGATCAGGGAGAGGGAATCATTCTGCCTCTGGAAGGGGGTACTCTGGATGGGAATGGTCAGCCGGGGAGATCACCCTGGCTTGGGACAGGTGCAGGACTTCCGTTTTGACGGAAGTCAGGGGTCACTCTGGACATGGTCAGCTGGTCTGGGCTCAGTCAGTCAGTCTGGTCGTCATTCTGGTCAAAGTCAGATGGTCTGATGGTCATCTGGATGATGATGGGCCCACTCTGGCTCAGGTCTATCTGTCTGGGGGTCACTGACCTGCATCAGGCAGTCTCAGGGTTACTCTGGCCAAGGTCAGACAGTCTGGGGGTCCCTCTGACCAGGTCAGTCAGGCTGGGAGTCCTGGAAGCTCACTTGGCCTGGCTCAGAATGGACGGGAGGAAGCCAAGGAGCTGGCATTCCCAGGCTCGCCGCAGGGCCATGGGTGAGACATCTGGGGCAGCTGCCTTGTTACTTGAGAAGGAACAGGAAGGACCTGAGCCCCAGCGAGACTCTAGATCCTGGGGTTCCCTTTCTGGTAATTTGGAGGCTCATGGAGGCCTTGGCTAAGACCCTCAGGCACAGACTCAGCTCAGGCTGAATGAAGTCAGCTGTCCCCTCCTCCAGGAAGCCCTCCCTGATCATCCCTACTAGCTATGTTCTCTCTCCGTGCTGTGCCATGGATCATTTTCTAGGGGGAGAGCTGAGGCCTCCCCAACACAGATGAGGTTAAAACCCACCTCCACAGGCCATAGGGCACATGCTGACCAGGGGTCTTCACACAATGAGGCAAAGAGCTCAGCCAACGTCCTGCCCCAGCTCTGGAGAGAGGCTGCTGTTATTTCATCCCATCCACATGGTGCCAGCCTTTTGCCCACCTTTTACTGTTTTACACTCTGATGGGGTCCATAAAGAGGAAAGGGAGACTCCCCCCACCCCCAATAGTGGCGAGCCCCTTGTGCCTGGCTGTGCATTTCAAGATGCTGCTTCACATGATCCGCGAAAACCTGGAGAAGTCCCTGCTGCAGATGAAACAGCAGACCCTCCTGAAAGTGAGGTCACCAGCAGTGCGTGCAGATGCCCACCGTTGTGCCTGGCATGTGGCACTCACTCCCCAGTTACTCTCTGTTTCTTGCCCCTTCTCTTCTTGAGGCTGGGAAGCAGCTAAAACTTGTTCCTTCTCATAGTGAAGGCTTTTCTGGTGAGAAATGTGGACTTCGGCCTCTGACCGCCATGGATTCAAATCCCGCTTCTGTTACTCAGGTGGCTCAGGTGGAACAGATGCAGAGCTGCTATCTTCTGAGTGCTTGCATGTGCTAGGCATTGTGCTAAGTGGACCCCCGCACTGAAACCTCAACAACTCCACTTGTGGGTGGGGAAACTGAAGATGAGAAAGGATCACCACCACAGGGCTGGCAAATTGCAGAGTCAAGGTTCAATCCCAAGTCTGTCTGATGCCAAAGCCCACTTGCTTATCTACCACCGTATACTGTGGATGAATTCCTTCACACCTCAGAGCCTCAGTCACCTCATCTGTCAAGTGGGGAGAAGTACCAGTGGCTGATAGGCACCCAGGACAGGGCCTGGCACGATTTGTGCCTGCTTCCTCGCCACTTGTCCATGCATTTTCCTGGGTCTCAGATGCCTTCATTTACCCCTGATGGGGCTCCAAACACTAAGCTTCAAGAGTGAGTGCAGGGACCTGTTTGCAGTTACTTTCTGAACCAGTGGTGTTCTCAAGTGTGTTATGTCCAACTCAGGGCTTTGATGAGCCAGCTAAGATATATGGACCTCATTACCAACCAAAGGACTCACATCTATTTCAATCCCCGCCTTATTTAAACTATGTATATTGGTTCCAAATCATGGGAATTTGCTTCCTCTAGTCATATGTGTCCTCAGTCCACAGATGACTGTTTTGCCTGTCACATTCCTGCAGGCAGAGAGCTCAGTTGGGTGACTTTGAGTAATGTGTATCACTTAAGCCTATCTGTCAAGTAGGAATAAATACAGTAGTGGTACCTCCTTAGAAGGCGAGGCCTAAATGGGATTCCACGCTTAAAGCGTTTAGCACTGTGCAGGGCTTGTCGTAAGCCTGATGTCATCAGTGGACATTGTTCTTATTTTTAAGGAGATACCATCAGGGCTGACTTAGGACATTCATGACCCTGCCAGTCCTGGGGCCCACTGTCTGTCCTCTCTGCAAAGATGGAGGGGCAGGTGATGGAACACTGACCAGCAGTCAGTGGGTCTTGGTCCAAACCCCACCTCTGTCATTAACCTGCTGTGTGACCTTAAGGAGGTCACAGCCTCTTTGGGCCTCAGTTTCCTCATCTGTAAAGTGGGGATAATTCTAGCTTTGATTTCATGAGTTGTTGAGAGGCTTTAATGGATAGTAATGATAACTGGTTTTTGTTGAGGAGGGTCTTTGATTGGTGGTTGAACAGTGGGGGGTTCTGGGGGGTACTGGGGGGTTGGGCAATGTGGGGAGGTCTTGGCATTGGGAGGAGACAATGAAAAGAAGGAGAGGGTGGAGGAGGGAGTGTTTGGTTAGAGGGAGGGAGCAGTGGGGGGAGGGCTTGAGGAGACGGAGGGGATGAGGGTGGGCCTGGGTAGGAAGAGACAGTGGGGGGCACCTAGAGGGTAGCCCCAGGAGCCCTTCTGGCCAGCAGCCCTGCTCTAGCCTGAGCTAAGCAGGCCCTTCCCTCACAGCCGGCTGCACCTTCGAGGAGGCGAGTGACCCAGCAGTGCCCTGTGAGTACAGCCAGGCCCAGTATGACGACTTCCAGTGGGAGCAAGTGAGGATCCACCCTGGCACCCGGGCTCCTGCGGACCTGCCCCATGGTGAGCCTACTCTAAATCACTATTCCCCCTTCATCTCCTTCCAGGGGCATGCTACCCACCTGCTGTGTTACCTTGGGTACACTGCCTAATCTTTCTGGGCCTCCATCTGCTCTGGCATCTGTAATGACACAGATGACACTGTGAGTATGGAGCTCTCTGGACCCTGACCAATTGTGTACCTCAGGTAGTTTTACCTGTAAAATGGGTGCAGGTTCAAGTAATCAAAGACCCTTACAAACTGTAAGATAAAGCCCACCTCCCATTACTCCTATGGCAGCTTAGTTCAGGATCCACCTTACTCCTGCCAGGTCTTCCTAAATCCTCCACCTTCAGGGAGGCTCTCTTCTCCCTGTGAGCCTCTGAATCCTGGTCTCCCAGGACTTGAAGATGCTGACAGAGCAGTAACCTTGGGGGCTGGATGTGTGTAAAACCTTTCTGCCTCTGCCCCTTTCTTCCTGGATCTTGCCCGACTTCTTCCCTGCCCTGCCCCGTTTCAGGATGGGGAATATTTGGCGTTGTGAACACTGGACTGAGAGGAGACGAATTATGTAGATTCTAGTCCCGGCCTTCTACCCTGATGATGGCCTCTAGTGCACTGGTTCCAGAGTCATGAACGCTGGGCTTCAGATCTTTGCTTCATCACTTTACCATCTGTGTGACTTTGGGCAAGTCACCTAACTTCTCTGAGCTTCCATTTCCTTAACTATAAAATGGAGAGCACAATAATCCATTTCATAGGATTATTAGATAATGCCTATAAAGTACATAACATGGGGGTGGCATGTAAGGGTTCAATTAATGCTTAGATGCTATTGTTGGAGATATTTGAGGGGGTCCAACTACTAGCACCCCTCTTCACTGGGTACAGAAGCAACTGGGGATTAAGAAAAGGATAAGACAGGTGGAGACCAAGTTGTCACCTTTATTACTGATGAGGGCTGAGCCAGCGGACACAGCATAGTGCGAGGACCAAAAGGGCTTGCTGAGGGAACCAGAATGGGACAGCCTATGGCCCCTCCCCTTTGCCCTGTCATAGTAGTGGGCCAGGGCCTTTGCTGCTCAGCTCACAGCATGGCCGAGATCGCATCTGCTGTCAAGAGTGCGTGGGAGGGGCAGCAGAGGTTCTCAGTGTGGGACCAGGACTTGAAGCCAGCAGGAGAGAGACCCTCCACGACCTGGCACAGGCAGCCTCTGCAGCCTGGGCTCCTGCCCCTCGCCTCGACTCCCGGAGGCCCCCCTGCCTCCCCTCTTCTGTGCACTTGCTCACACTGTGCCCTCCCTGGGGCATTCCTCTCCGCCTTCACAGGGCTCTCAGCTCCTTGTTTGACCTCTGTCCTGGCAGGTATCAAAGTCTGACCTGTGTGACAGTGATCTGTCACGGTGCCCACCGTGGCAGGGATGCTGAGCGGGCCGATTCCATATCCCCAGGGCCCAGCCTTGGCCTGGTACAGGTTAGCATTTGGGTACAGGTTGCTGATTTGAATTCACCTCTTACGGTCCTGACCATCCTGTGTGGGCTCTGCTTCTCTCTCTCCTCCACACAAGCAGAGACATACCCAGTGACAAAAGGGGGAGAGAAATTTTGTATGTAGTGTGGGCCTTGGGCTGGATCCCGGGGATGCAGTGGTGAGCCAGATGGACAGTCTCTCTGCTGTGTTGGTGCTCACATTCTGGGGAAGAGAGTTGGAGGTGGAGAGAGGAGGAAGGAGGGAGTAAATGGAAGAGAAGAGGAGGGATGCAGAGTGAGAAAAGGCTAGAAGAGGAAGGGGCAAGAACAAAGTGTCAGCTTGAAAGGGGGAGAGAGACACGCCCACAGCTGCTCACAGGGAGGAGAGAGGATGGAGGAGTGGGCCAAGAGAGACTGTGCGGGGGCTGGGATGCGCCCCTTCCTGGGTGGGAATGGGGACCTGGAGTTTTGTTTACTGCCCCACCAGGACTGATGCAGGAGCTGCCTTCTTCACAGGCTTCTGGCTCCCAGAGATGAATGCCGTTCCCTCCAGTGGAGTCCCTGGAGAGCCCGCCTGGAGCAGGGAGCCTCATGGTTTGGGATCTGAATGGGCTTGTGTGGGCTGGCAGCCAGGCCTGGGAAGAGGTGGCCCTGGGTGGCTGCAGGCACCCCGTTAGCAGCTGCTGGGGCCTTCTCCCCACAGAAGGGAAGCCATAATCCCCCAGCCAGGTCCTGAGGAGTCCAGCCCCCTTTCCCCTGCCACCCCTCTCCCCCACTCCCAGCATACAGCTTGGATCTCTGGGGCAGGGGCAGGGCTACCTTTCTCTAGGTTCGAAATCAAGAGAGTTGTATCCCAGGAGTTTAGATTGAGGGGCTGGGGGCTGGAAGGGAAGTTAGAGCCCTTTCATTCCATCTCTGTTCTGTAAGTTCATTCAGCTTGCAGACCTGTGCTGGGCGCGCAGTGGAGCCCTGAGGCATCACAGGCTGGTGGGGAGAGCGATACATACTTTATTAATGATCCAAGGGCCAGGAGAGACAGCCATAGAGGGATGGAGAGGGAGGGCTTCAGAAGAGGTGGACTTTGAGGGCCTGTCATGTGCTGGACTCTTGACTCCTGAGATGAGTGTCCTAGTCCTTGCCTCCCAGGACAGCTCAGAATGTGGGGAAAGCTGTGGATTAGCACAAGCTTGGACTGGGGTCATAAAGGGTGAGGTGAGGAGCCAGAAAGGGGTTTTGGCACAGCCAGATTTGTGTGTTTTTTTGTTGCTCCAAGTCTTTACTTTGGGAAACAGATGCAGGGAAATGAAGGGACTTACCCAGTGAGTCAGAGCTGGGACCAGAACTCAGGCCCCTGACTCCAGATGGGTCCAAATGCCTGGAGTCCTTTGTTTCTGCCTCCTCCTCTGTGCCCACCTGACCCTGGTCCTCCCCTGAGTTCTCAGCTCCTGCCTTTTCCTCCTCTCTTTCCAGGCTCCTACTTGATGGTCAATGCTTCCCAGCATGCTCCAGGCCAGAGGGCCCATGTCATCTTCCAGAGTCTGAGTGAGAATGACACCCACTGTGTGCAGTTCAGCTACTTCCTGTACAGTCGGGATGGGCACAGCCCGGGCACTTTGGGCATCTATGTGCGTGTCAATGGGGGTCCCCTGGGCAGTGCCGTCTGGAATATGACTGGATCCCACGGCCACCAGTGGCACCAGGCTGAGCTGGCTGTCAGCACCTTCTGGCCCAATGAATATCAGGTGGGCTGGGTTCAGTCTGCGGTCAGTCTGTGCTTGGGGGTGTGGGTAGAGGGGTGTCAGCATGAGATCAGAGTAAGCAAGTGGCCTAGGTTGGAATTAGTTTGTGTCAGCATCAGGAGTCAGTCTGTGGTCAGCATTGGGTTCTTCAGTGATGGTTCAGCCTGGTTCAGTGTCAGAGGTCATTGTTATTAGGAATAGTTTATGGTTGGGGTCGAGGTGAGTTGGAATAGTGCTGACTTGGAAACCCTGTCTGGCTGGGAAGTTTTGTGGCTTGAAGGTAACAGTCCAGGATTGGGATGGAACCTCTGGCCTTGACCTTGTTAGCTCTGGGTGCTGACATCCCCTTCCACAACAAGCTGGCTTGGTATGGAGGGTAACTGTGAGCTGGGCTGCTTGTTGAGGAGGATGGGGCTGGAGCACAGCTGAAAGGGGGCTCTTGTGGGCATCTCCCCAGGCAGGGCTGGAGGGATGTCAGCATGACAGGGACCCTCCCACCTCCCCCAGGTGCTGTTTGAGGCCCTCATCTCCTCAGACCGCAGGGGCTACATGGGCCTAGATGACATCCTGCTTCTCAGCTACCCCTGCGGTGAGTCCCAGCCCACTGGGGTGCAGGGTGAGGGGTTCGGGTGGCTGCGGCTCCTGCTGACAGGGGGCACGAGTCCAGCTCACGCCAAGGCTCTGTTCCGGCAGCAAAGGCCCCGCACTTCTCCCGCCTGGGCGACGTGGAGGTCAATGCGGGCCAGAACGCCTCGTTCCAGTGCATGGCTGCTGGCAGAGCAGCGGAGGCCGAGCGCTTCCTTCTGCAGGTGAGGCGGGTGGGGTGGGAGTGTGGGGGGACCTTGGCCAACTTCTTATGAAAAGTTCTGGCTCCTCTGCGGAATGCTAAGTCCTTCCGTTATTCTCCAGCACCCATACACATGCGTCCTGGCTCTCCCTAGGCTCTGCTCTGCCCTCTTCTCTTGGGTGCCCCATCCCCCGAGGACAGAGAGCGGCTCCAGGATCCTCCAACCACACCTTCCATCAAAGGCAGAGCGACCACATTCCCTTAATCAGACCCACACCTTCCTGTGGCAGAGCTGGTTCCAGGAACCCCAAATGCTCCTGTGTAGTAGGGATGGCTAAATGGGGCCGGGACATTTACCCCCTCGCCCGGGTCACAGCGAGATCTGGACCTTTCTTCCCCGGCGCCCATGACCCATTGGCCCCTCTCCCCGCTCAGCGACAGAGCGGGGCACTGGTGCCCGCGGCCGGCGTGAGGCACATCAGCCACCGGCGCTTCCTGGCCACCTTCCCGCTGGCCGCCGTGCGCCGCGCGGAGCAGGACCTGTACCGCTGCGTGTCCCAGGCCCAGCGTGGCGTGGGCGTCTCCAACTTCGCAGAGCTAATCGTCAAAGGTGAGCACGGGGACGCTTGCGGAGGGCGGGCCTCCGAGGGGCGGGGCGAGCGGAGGGTGGGGGCGCAGGTCCTACCAGGGGGCGGAGTCTTGTCAGGGGGCGTGGCCCATGGACGGGTAGGGAAGTAAGGGTTTGACCAGGGGCGTGGTCTGACTGCGGGGCGGGGCTTGCGGAGGGGCACAATCTCACCCGCGATCAGGTCCGACTGGAGGTGAGGGGATGTGACCGAGAGGTGGGCCCGCGTGGGGACTGGGTCAAGGTGTGAGCCCGGCGAGGCGGGATCTGGCTATTGGGCCCTAGGGTTGACCGGAGCGGGCAAGCGATCAGTCCTTGGAGGCGAGGACTTGGGGACTCAGAAGGGAATGAGGGAGAGGGTGTAGGCTGAGGGGTGAGGACGGGGTCAGCTTTTGGAGTGGGGAGCTTCTTAGGCCCTGGGGATTTAGTTGGGGGAGGCAGTCTAGTCTAGGGCTTGGGGGCTGCGTGAGGAGCCTGGGGGGACAGGAGGGCTCTTGGGTTTTTGGGTGTGGTGGGGTGAGGAGCTGAGGGCCAGGGATTCATAGCGGCATCCGCGGGCTCCGTCTCTCTCCCATCTCCTTGCAGAGCCCCCTACCCCCATTGCGCCCCCGCAGCTGCTGCGCGCTGGCCCCACCTACCTCATCATCCAGCTCAACACCAACTCCATCATTGGCGACGGGCCGATCGTGCGTAAGGAGATTGAGTACCGCATGGCGCGCGGCCCGTGGGCGGAGGTTCACGCGGTCAACCTGCAGACCTACAAGCTGTGGCACCTCGACCCCGACACGGAGTACGAGATCAGCGTCCTGCTCACGCGCCCCGGTGACGGCGGCACAGGCCGCCCCGGGCCGCCCCTCGTCAGCCGCACCAAGTGCGCAGGTGGGTGCCTCCTGGCTCCACTCCCTCCTCCAGATACCCGGGTATGGACTCAGGGCAACCGAGGGGTGAAGGATACATTCCGAGCGGTAGTATGGCCTCGATCTGTGCTTCTAAAACCTTCTAAAACATCGTGACCTTCCCTCAATCCTAGTTATGGTAAAGAAAATAATGATAGCTAACATTTCACTTTGTGATGGACATTTATACATATATTGTGTGTGTATCATTTATTGATTTAAAACTCAGAACAACACCATGATCTAGGTACTCTTGTCATACCCGTTTTACAGATGAGGTGTAAAATCTGTAACCTCTGTACAGATTATTATTAACAGAGATGTTAAGTGACTGGCTCAAAGTCACACAGCTAGTAAGCAGCAGAGCAGTAAGGGATTGGAACCCTTGACCGGCTGTCTTCAGAATCTGTGTTCTTAATTCTACATTATATCATCTAGGTAAAATAAACAACTAAACACCATGAAATAAAAGTGTTATTAAATTCTAGCTGGATTCTCTTGTCTGGGCAGTTGAGCCTGAAGTCTGCTTTTGCTTGTTTCAAAGGGTAATGCAGCTGTTACGAGCAATGGCACACCTGCACCAGGGGAGACTTTATTGTTTAATCAGAAGAGAAATTGACAACAGAACAATTTTCTTACTCTGTGATTTCAGCGTTTTTGTTGTTGTTGAATTTTTATTGAGATATAAAAGATTCATATGCCGTTGTAAGAAAAAATATAAGAGAAATTTCCTTATACACTTTACCCTGTTTCCTGCATTTTGCAAAACTGTAGTATAAATCACACTCAAGATACTGACATTGTTAAAATCCACAGATCTTATTCAGACTTCCCCAGTTTCATTTGTCCCGATTTGTGTGTCTCTGTGTATATTTAGTTCTATACAGTTTATCACATGTGTTGGTTGCTTTGTGTATTTACCACCACAGTCAAGATAGTGAACAGTTCAATCAGCTTAAGGATCCTTCGTTGCTCATTTATATCGTTTCTGTCCCTTCCTCCACCCCCAACCCCTGGTTACCACTAATTTGTCCTTCATTTCTAAAATTTTGTCACTTTAAAAATGTTATATAGATGAAGAAATCATACAGTGTATAACCTTTTGAATCTGCTTTTTTATTTGGTAGCAGCTTTATGAGATACAATTCACACCTCATACATTTCATTCATTAGAGTGTACAATTCAATGGTTTTTAGTATATTCACAGAGTTGTGCAGCCATCACCACAATCAATTTTAGAACATTTTTCATCTCCCCCAAAGGAAACCTTGTATTCTTTTGCAGTCCACCCCTCCCCTCATTTCCCCCTAATTCCTTTGGCTCAAGGCAGCCACTAATTTACTTTTTGTCTCTATAGATTTGCCTCTTTGTGGACATTTCATATAAATGGAATCATACAATATGTAGTCTTTAGTGATTGGCTTCTTTCACTTAGCACAATTTTTCAAGGTTTATCCATGTTGTGGCATGCATTAGTATTTTTTTAAAATAAATTTATTTATTTTATTTTTGGCTGCGTTGGGTCTTTGTTGCTGCACACGGGCTTTCTCTAGTTGCGGCAAACGAGGGCTACTCTTCTTGTGGTGCACAGGCTTCTCATTGTGGTGGCTTCTTTTGTTGCGGAGCATGGGCTCTAGGCGCGCGGGCTTCAGTAGTTGTGGCTCGCGGGCTCTAGAGCGCAGGCTCAATAGTTGTGATGCACAGGCTTAGTTGCTCCGCGGCATGTGGGATCTTCCCGGACCAGGGCTCGAACTTGCGTCCCCTGCATTGGCAGGCGTATTATTAACCACTGTGCCTCCAGGGAAATCCCGCCACCAGGGAAGTCCCAGTACTTTTTATTGTTGAATAATATTTTGTTTTGTAGACATACCATAATTTACTTATCCATTCATCAGTTGTTAGGCATTTGCGTTTTTTATACTTGTTATTATGAACAGTATTCTATGAATATTAAAGTACAGGGTTGGATATGGACATATGTTTTCATTTCTCCTGGGTGTGTGTGTGTATGTATATATATATATATATATATATATATATATATATATATATATATGGTATGGTAACTATGTTCAACCATTTAGGGAACTGCTGGACTGTTTTCCAAAGCAATCACTCCACTTTACATTCTCATTAGCAGCGTATGAGGGTTCCAGTTTCTCTACATTCTCACTAACACTTGTTATTATCTGTCTTCTGATTATAACTATCCTAGTGGGTATGAAGTGGTGTCTCATTGTGGTGTTGCATTTCCCTGATGGTTAATGATATTGAACTTTTTTCATGTGCTTATTGGCCATTTATATGTCTTCTCTGTAGAAATGTCTATTCAGATCCTTTACTCATTTTTAAGTTCAGTTTTTTATTATTGAGTTGTAAAAGTTCTTTATATGTTCTGGATACTAAACCCTTATCAGATATATTTGCAAGTGTTTTCTTCCATTCTGTGGGTTGTCTTTTAGTTTTCTTGATGGTGTCCTTTGAAGCACAGAGGTTTTTAATTTTGATGAAGTACAATTTATCTGTTTTTTCTTTTGTTTGTGCTTTCAATATCATATGTAAAAAAACATTGCCTAATCCAAAGTCACGAAGATTTACCCTTATTTTTTTCTAAGAGTTTTATAGTTTTAGCTCTTACATTTAGGTCCTTGATCCATTTTGAGTGAATTTTTGTATATGGTGTGAGGTAGGAGTCCAATCTCATTCTTTTGCTTGCAGATGTCCACTTGTTCCAGCACCATTTATTGAAAGACTATTCTTTTCCCATTGAATTGTCTTGGCACTGAGATTTGCTTTTTTGCGTATTGTAATTTCCTGGAGATTCATCCAAGTTGTTCTGTAAATCAATAGTTCATTCCTTTTTAATGCTGAGTAGTATTCCATGGTGTGGATATACCAGAGTTTGTTTAACCATTTATCTGTTGAAGGACACTTGAACTGGTCCCAGTTTTTGGTTATTACAAGTAGAGCTGCTATGAACATTCATTTACAATTTTTTCGTAAACGTAATTTTTCATATTTTTCTGGGATAGATGCCTGAGGGTACAATTAATGGATCATATGGTAATTGAATATTTAGTTTTATTGGAAACTGTCAGGGAGGCTGTATTGTTTTACATTCTCACCAGCAATATATGAGTGATCCAGTTTTCTACATCCTTGCCAGCATTTGGTGCTGTCATCATTATTATTATTATTATTATTATTATTATTATTATTTTTCTTGCGTTATGCGGGCCTCTCACTGTTGTGGCCTCTCCCATTGCGGAGCACAGGCTCCGGACGCGCAGGCTCAGCGGCCATGGCTCACGGGCCTAGCCGCTCCGTGGCATGTGGGATCTTCCCGAACCAGGGCACAAACCCGTGTCCCCTGCATCGGCAGGTGGACTCTCAAGCACTGCGCCACCAGGGAATCCCATTATTATTATTTTTTAAAAAAATTTTAGCCATTCTGAGACGTGTGTAGTAATATCCTATCCTGGTCTTAATTTGCATTTCTTTAATGCCTTGTGATGTTAAACATCTTTTCATGTGCTGTTTGCCATCTGTATATCCTCTTTGGTGAATTTTTCATGTCCTTGCCCATTTAAAATTAATTAATTAATTTTTGGCTGCATTGGGTCTTTGTTGCTGCAGGTGGGCTTTTCCCTAGTTTTGGCGAGCGGGGGCTACTCTTCGTTGCGGTGCACAGGCTTCTCATTGCAGTGGCTTCTCTTGTTGTGGGGCACGGGCTCTAGGCGTGCGGACTTTAGTAGTTGTGGCACTTGGGCTCAGTAGTTGTGGCTGTGGGCTCTAGAGCACAGGCTCAGTAGTTGTGACGCACAAGCTTAGTTACTCCGGGGCATGTGGGATCTTCCCGGATCAGTGCTCGAACCCATGTCCCCTGCCTTGGCAAGCGGATTCCTTTTTTTCTCTCTTTTTTTAAATTGATCTTTATTGGAGTATAATTGCTTCACAATACCGTGTTAGTTTCTGTTGTACACCAGAGTGAATCAGCCATATGTATACATATATCCCCATATCCCCTCCCTCTTGAGCCTCCCTCCCATCCTCTCTATCCCACCCCTGTATGTCATCGTAAAGCACCAAGCTGATCTCCCTGTGCCACGCAGCTGCTTCCCACTAGCTAACTATTTTACATTCGGTAGTGTATATATGTCGATGCTACTCTCACTTCACCCCAGCTTCCCCCTCCCACCCCGTGTCCTCAAGTCCATTGTCTATGTCTATATCTTTATTCCTGCCCTGCAAGTAGGTTCATCAGTACCATTTTCTAGTTTTAGATTCCATGTATATGTGTTAGCATATGGTATTTGTTTTCTCTTTCTGACTTAGTTCACCCTGTATGACAGACTCTGGGTCCATCTACCTCACTACAAATAACTCAATTTCGTTTCTTTTTATGGCTGAGTAATATTCCATTGTATATACGGCAGGCAGATTCTTAACCACTGTGCCACCAGGGAAGTCCCTGTCCTTGCCCATTTTCTAATTGGATTATTCACTTTATATTGTTGAGCTTTGCGAGTTCTTTACACATTCTAAATACTAGTCTTTTTTTGGGTAGGTAGTTTGTAAATGTTTCCCCCTGGCTTTTAGCTTGTCTTTTTATCCTCTTCACCTGTGCTTTCACGGAGCAACCATTTTTAATTTTGATGAGGGCCAATTTATCAAAATTTTCTTTTATGAATTGTGCTTTTGATGTCAAATTTAAGAACTCCTTGCCTAGCCCTAGATCCCCCAAATTTTCTCCTTTAAAAAAAAAAAAGAAAAGAAAAGTGTTATAGTTTTACATGCAAGTCCGTGATCCATTTTGTGTTAATTTTTGGGTAAGCTACACGCTTAGGTCGAGGTTTATTTATTTTTTGCCAGTCAATATTCTTAAGTGTTTTAAAAAGCTGATCCGGGAACCATCTAAAATAGTTTAATGCCATATTTAGAGAGACCCTTGGGTGTTGGGTAAGAGTATTCCAGTGGAAGTT